ACACTGTTTAAATCCACTGCTGCTGGAGGGCTACCTATAAATCACTTCCACCTCAATGGCATCCAACAACAATTTGTAACTATATTGTTAGTGCCTCATAATTTAGGCTCAACAACAGAGTTGTTGCCTCTAGCTGACCCTCCAGTGGGTTTTTCAGAGGCAGTAAATTGCAGAGGATGAAAGTGCTCATCCTTGTCCTCCAGAGCAAATGGGGAATTTGACCTGAATGCCTTTAAAATTGCAGTGCAGTTCTTACCACTAGGGCTCCCTAAACAGTTCCAAATTGTTAGTATTAAAAGTTCAAATGTGAATAGTTGGAATTTAAGAAGAATAGAATGCTTAGAGTTTAAGCTGTATAGTTTCCCTTGTCAATTAGGGAGCTATGGTGATCTAGGGATAAGAAGTTGTGCTGCAATCCTAAAGCAGGTGGTTCAAATCCACCAGCTGCTCCTTGGGGGTTGGGGAAGATGGGCAATCTCCTCCTGAGCAATTAACTGCCTTTAAACCCGCTGGAGCGTCAGCTATGGTTCGGGTCTGACTCAAATGTACACAACATTAGTAATTTGATCTTTGGATGTGAATCCAGCTCCTGTAAGGTACTAGTTCTCACTGCTCTGGTGGTCTACTGGCAAGAAGCTGTGCTGCAATCCTGAAGGCACGTGGTTCAAGGCCATCAGCTGCTGCACTGGGGAAGGGTGGGCAATCTCCTCCTCCTGTATGATTGTGATTAACCGACTCTGAAAACCCTCCAGAGGGTCAGCTATGGGTCTGTTCCGACTCTGTGGTACACAACAACAACTACTCTGAGTACTCCTTGCAGGACCTGGACTCTCATCCAAAAATTAAATTACTGATGGTAATACTCTATTGTTGAGTAATGAGGATTATTAATAACTAACCATTTGGGGTGGCATTTACAATGCACTATGAAGGTCAAGTCATACCTTCTGTTGGGTTTTTTGCCCTCTTTTTTTTTAAAAAAAATGTATTCATTCATTGTGGCACATTTTCTTCCCTCTCTTGCTCTTCCCCCTCCACTAGTCTACTTTGCAATACACTTCTTATTCCAGATTATTGTCACACATATAATTTCTAATCACATATTCCTTTTATAAGTTTCCCCCCCATCTGATCCAACAGAGTGTTCATTATTTATCCAGTCTTTTCCTATTCTCTCCATGTCAGTTCTATTTTATAACAGCAGTATTATCCTTTTGTGATTGAGATATTTCACTGAGCATAAAGTCTTCCAGGCTTACCCATGTTGTATAATGTTTTATGAATTCATTGTTTTTAAATGTTGCATAATATTTCACTGTGTGAGTGTACCATACTTTTTCTATCCATTTGTTCGTTGATGGACACTTGAGTTGATTCCATCTCTTTGCTATTGTGACTAAATGCAACAATAAATATGGGTGTGTTCATACATCTGTTTGAGGTTTAACTCTTGCTTCTTTAGAGTCTATTCCCATTAGTGGAATTCCAGGATCAAATAGTATTTCAATTTACAACTTTTTGAGAAAGTTTCAGACTGCCTTCCATTGTAGTTGTACCATTTTATACTACCACCAGCAGTGAATAAGAGTTCCAGTCCCTACATCACCAGCATTTGTTGTTTGCTGCTCTGTTGAACTTTGCTATTGTTGTTGGGGAGAAAGGATATTTCATAGTTGTTTTGATTTGCATGTCTCTGAAAGCTAGAGATTTTGAACATTTCTTCATTTGTTTGTTTGTCATCTGAATGTCTTCTTTGGTAAAGTAGACATCATGCCCATCAAATTTTGTGATTGGGTTGTTTACCTTTTTCTCATTAAGATGCCCTTCTGCTGGTTTTGTCACTGAGATTACTAAACCATTAAAAATTCTCCAAGTCTAGATATAAACTCTTAAAGTTTCCTGGTCAGCCTATTTTGATCTTCCACTCAATGAGAGGGAATAAAAACCAATCCGTTTTCCTAACAGATGGTGCTTAGTTAACTGGATAGCTACAAGCAAACGAATAAAGTTGAACCCCTTCATTATACTACATAAGCAATACTTCAAAATAGATCAGACTTAAATGTAAAAGCTAAACAAAAGAAAACATAGGGATGGGTTTTCATGACTTTGTGTGAGATAATTTTCTTTTAGACATGATACAAACCCCATAAGAAACAAGAGAAAAATACATAAATTGAAACAATAACCCAATTTTTGGAACAAAATATTTGCAAATAATACATCACTGGATAAGGAACAAGTTTCCAGATAATCTAAAGAACTCTTTTTTTAAAATAAATTGGTTTTCATGAAATCATCCTTATACATCTTGTCATATGACATTAATTACAATTGATCAGTGCCATTTATTACAATATCTCATCAAATCTTCAGGGTGCTCTCATGAGTTAGTGGTAAGAAGTTGTTCTGCCAATCTAAAAGCAGGTGATTTGAATCTACCAGCTTCTCCATGGGAGAAAGATGGGCAATCTCCTCTCATATGATTTGCAGCCTCTGAAAATCTGCTGGAGGGCCAGCTATAATTCAGTTCCAACTAGATGGCATATAACAACATCATCAAATCTTCACTGTACCTTGTCTTTCCTCCAAAGAACTCTCAAAAATGAACAATAAAAAACACAAATAACATGACTGAAAATGAGTAAACTATTTGACTAGACATTTATGTAAAGAAGACGTATAAAGTATCAACCAACCATTATAGTTGTTATGTGCCATTGAGTCTCTTGTAATTCATAGCGACCCTGCACACAACAGCTCTGAACCCTGCTCTATCCTGGGGCAATCTCACTAACACACTTAATCTCGTTACCACAGCTATCCTGTCAATCCGTCTCATCTGGGTCTTCCTCTCCTGTCCCTCAACCCTTCCAAGCATGACATCTTTGTCCAAAACCAGCCCATCCTGGCTACATGACCAAGTATGTGAGAGGGAGTCTCAAAATCCTTGCCTCCAAGGAGCAGCTTAGTTTCATCCTCTCCAAGACAGACTTGTTATTTCTCTTGGCAATTCAACTTGGTTTGTTCAACTCTTCTCCAGTATCACAACAGCACACATTCTTTTTCTGTCATCCTTGGTCATTGTCTAAACCCACATTACATCCACTTATTATTTGTTATAGGCTATTGAGCTAAAACCGACATGGTAGCTGACTCTCCAGCAGGTTTTCAGAGACTATAGATCACACAGGAAGAGAATGCTCATCTTTCTCTCTCAGAGAAGCTGGTAGATTTAAACCACTTGCCCTTCAGTTAACAGTGCAACTCTTTGCCTACCACAAGCTCCCTTCACACTCATTTGGATGATAAAAACAAAAATGTCAGACAATAAAAATTGTTGACAAGAATGTGAAGAAATTAGAACCCTTACATATTGCTAGTGTGAATGAAAAATGAATGGTACAGTCACTTGGTAAAGAACTTTGGTAATTTGTTAAAATATTAAACATAGAGCTATCATTTAAGCCAACCCTAACATGTATCTGTACAAGACATTCACAGCAGCATTATTTGTAATAGCAAAAAAGTAGAAACAACTAAAATGTCTATCAATTGATGAACAAATAAACAAAATGTCATATAATAGATATAGCCATATAATAGAATATTATAGCCATATAATAGAATATAAAGGAATAAAATACTGATACATGCTATAATATTAGTCTTAAAACATGTTAAGTTAAAAAAGCCACTCACAGAGAAAATTTTATTATCTTTTCATATCGATACAGAATGTTCAAATTAGGTAAGTCTGCACAACAGTTGTAGAGGAATAGTAGAAATGAGAAGTGATTGCAAATGAGTACAAAACTTATTTTTGGGGTCATGAAAATATTCTGAAATTGACTGGGATGATAACTGAACAACTTTGTAAAGATACTAAAATTACTTAATTGTTATACCTCAATAAAAAAGTTTAAAAAGTTATTAGAAAGTATAGCCTCTATCATGGGTTATGTAATGTTTACTAAGTGATGGCTTCAGTCGAAAGAACTACTCATTTCAAACAAGAATATGTTAAATGTAATTCTGACTCTTCCTACATTTCTTTTGGTAATAAACTAGACCTTTTATTTTTTTTATATCTTTTCATACACCATGCCTCTAAAAAGAGCACTTATCTTAATTTTGAGTCATATTTACTTACACGATTCTTAGTTTAATGGTGGGTAATTCACTGATCTTTTTGCTAGATAAGGGGTGGGGGAAAGTAAACAATTCTGCCACTGCCACTGGGTCTGTTCCAAATCAGAATTGACCTCAAAGGTTTTCTCAGGAAACCCTTTTATGGGAGCAGAGTGCTTCATCATTCTACCATGAAGAGGCTAGAGGATTTGAACCATTGACCTCTAGGTAACAGCCCAGAGCTTAATCCACTATGCTACCGGGGCTCCTTAGATGAGAGCAAGGACCAGATTTTATTCATTTCAAGATTACCAATGCCTGTCAGTATCTAAGGGAGGTCTAGTGGTTGTGCTGCCAATCCAAAGACAGGCAGTTTGAGTTAATCAGCTGCTCTGAAGGACAAAGAAGGGCAATCTCCTTTCATGTGATTTATAATCTCTAAAAACTCACTGAAGGGCCAGTTATGAGCCAGTTCCAAATAATTTTAAGTGAGTTTAGGCTTTTTTTGTGTTTTGTTTTGTTTTGCAGTACTGAACAGAATAAATTCTTAATTATTTATCGAATAAATGTAAAATGAATACCCAGCAACACTTGTCAAAACAGCTAATCTTCACAAGTTGGTGGATCAAAACATTTTGAAGTCTGAATACTAAGTGTGATTTGTTGGATGTTTTGGGGTTTGGTTGGTTTTTGGGGTGTTTTTTTTGTCCATTTAGGCTTTTGCTTTGTCAAGTGATGGTGAAATAAGCATAGGACTCTGCAAGGATACAGGAGAAGATAGGACAGAAGTAATGGCTGAAAAGCATGATACAGCCACACATCCCAGAGGAGTGTGGTTCAACTGGGAAAGGAAGAAAATAAAAACTTACTTTTCTAGGTTGGCCATTTGCTTAATGGCTTCCACAGCCCCAGGCAACGGTTCAAGTTCAAAAAAGAAATTCTTTGACTCCCATATGCTGATCGCCTTCTCCTAGGGAAGAGAGAGAGGCAGGTTACTTCCAGGATCCTCAGTAACTCACAGTGCTCACCTCAGAGTACATCAAGGCTGCTACCCTCCACATTCCTCACTCCAAAGAATGTTTCTGACAGGAAAAGAAAGGGGATCACAAGGATCTATGTGTGTCCAAGTTCCTTTCCAGGATGGCCTTTCATTTCTGAAGTATGCAGCAGAGGGAGACAGCCAATGAATCAGGAATTGTGTACTCTTACTTCCAAGCCTACTCTGACTCTCCCATAGCTTTTTGCTCTCTGGAACCCACATCCTGTCCTTGGGGCACCAATGGAAAGGGCCATCAGTAAGAACCGTATGCTTACTAGGCATTAATTCTTCATGGCCCCAGGCAACAAGAAGGCAGATCAAGTTTTGTACTGACAGCAGAATGATTTGAGATCAGGAGAAATTCAGGATGAGGAGTAGTAAGGCTCAAATGGAGGAGGAGGTCACTGGGTAGAGTTCCAGGCTCTTCACTTCACATCATCCAGAACTAATCTATTTTATAGGTTGGGTGCCACTAAGTAATAGTTCTACAGGACACATCACCTTCCCTTCGGAGACAGTACAACTAGACTTAAGAGACACTGGACAGAGCATAAAAAATTGTCAGCAGTTGACGTGTTCAGAATCACAGAAGCCAAGAAAGCTTCAGATACAAGCTGTCAGATCATGGGTCAGACAATGGAAGATAAATTCTGAAGGGATTTGGTAGAAGTGAAGGGGTATGCTGGTAGAGGGTGGAGCTGGGAAATAAGTGGGTCAAG